TAAATTGAACTCTAAAAATGAAATTTAAGAAAGAATATAAAATTCAGAAGCAGAGTACACTAAGTAATGATAGCCTTAATGTGAAAAAAATCTGTAAAGAAAGGTAAGAAAAAAGAAACTAACAAGATTCTAAATAATAAAACAGTAAGATTGGGGGAATAAGCAGGAGTCATGTGCAAGATTAATTCTCAGGTTGTATGTAATTTGATTGTGAAAGCACACACATACAAACATGGTTATTATAACTATCAGAATATAGTAGGAATGTCAAAGAGTGATGTATTAATTACTGATAGCATGCCACTGAGTGGCTTTAATGTGTGAACAGCATGGATGACATGGTCTGAATTCTGAGTCTGCTTTGGAGTGGCATAAAACCCGACAGCTTTGAGTAGCTCATCATTCATAAATTTTTACTAAAAATTGAAGTAAAGCTTAAATCCCACCGTTGGGATTTCGTAAGGCTCTGAGATGAGAGAGTGTTCTGGGGATGGCGTGTTGTCGAGCAGCTTGTTAGGGAGTGTTCAGGTTTCGGGCTGTGGGGAGGTGGCAGGTTCAGGTCTGTCGTCCCGGGCGTTGGTCTGTCTGTGTCCTGGCCGCACACCCCACGCCCGAGGTGGCGGTGGTCGCCTTTTCCTTTTGCAGGGCCGCTCGTTTTCCTGGTGTACCACCCCAGGAGGAGTAGCTTTGATTTCGCTAGGAACTAGATAAATTTTCAAGGTGAGTTGAGTCTCGCCTTTGGTCACCTCTGTACCCCCGACCTGCGGTTTAGGTGGGCAGCTCCTCTGTCTCTCCCACACTTGGTTTTCTTCCTCGGGTGCCTTTTAGTCCCTACTTGTTACACACTTTCCTGTCTTCCCTGCAGACCGCAAGGTAAATACTGCTGCCTTTGTATCACTTTAATATGAGAGAGGTAAACAGTGTGTTTTGTCTCATCTACCTGTATGAGTCTGTGAATGTGAAAGGAAATTGATTATAGACAAACTAGTTAAGGCAGAATCGGAGATAATAGTTTTTAAAGAAAAATTCTAATAATTACGTCTAGACCTTGAAAAGTTGTATAGCTTCCCTATTCTTATGTATTAACACTATTATGTTAATTGGTCAGCTAAGAAGAGTGAATCACCTTCTAGAGGCTGAGCTCTTATTTCTGTTATTTAATAGGGTAGAAACGGTGGTAAATGTAGGAGTTGGAAACTACATGGTTTTGATTCAGTTACCTTCTGTGGTGTAGTTTTATGAGTTACAAAAGATTGGCCCGGTGAAGCCTTTCCGAATACAGATTCCTCTGCTAATACAGATTTTAATCATTTGAATGAGACATTTGCTCAATATGAATCTAAGGAAATTACATTTTATAAAATTGCTTTGTCTAAGTAAACCTGTGTTCTTGTTTATTAGGAAAGTTTGTTTAATAAATTATAGATTGCCTAATTTTATTCTTCGACAGCCAGCTTCATTCTTCATTTATTAAAAGGCAAATTCCATACGTGATATGCAGGAGAATTTGAAGTGGAATGCTTCTGTACATACTGCTTGACATGTTTAAGCTGAGTGTGGAATATGAACAGGGAGACAATTCATGTGGAAAAATGTGCTTGTCAAGCTCTTGACTTACTATTTTCACACTGTGTTCTTTGCCAGCCCAAAATTCTAACGAAACAATAGCATTTTCCTTCTTAGGTCTTCTAAACTTTGGCTTTAAGAAACTGTACTTTATATGGTAGCTGTATTTCACATACCTCAGTTTTACATCCCTGGTGGTTTAGCAGGTAAAGAATCTGCCTCCAGGGCGGGAAACAAAGGAAACACGGGTTCAGTCCCTGGGGAAGATCTGCTGGAGGAGGGAATGGCAACCCACTCCAGCATTCTTGCCTGAAAAGTCATGGACAGAGGAGCCTGGCGGGCTTCAGTCCATGGGGATGCAGAGACAGACACGGTTTGGGACTAAGCAATAACAGCAAACACATGATACTTGTAGATATAATACCTAGAGCATCACAGCCAGGGCCGTGACCAGGGAAGGCCTGCCCCGGGAGGATTTGATGTCTGTGTGCTTGTGGCCATTCAGTCCCCAGTTCCCTTCCAGACCGAAGCGTTTGTAGTAACACAGGTTGTCCAGTTAAAAAACAAAAACAGAGAAGGAAGGTATAGCAGTTTAAGTATTCAGTTGAAAAGAATTGCTTATTTTGTTACTGTAGAGTGTGCTTTCTTTGAAATTATTTTGCTAATAAGCAGGGTATGTCTTAACCTGTGCTGGAGGTTGAAAAAGAGAATGTAAAATGGGTTATGTTAAGTTTCTGAGAATTATATACAGTTACAGGCCAATAATTATGTGTTTGAGAAGGTTAATAAAGAATTGGTATCTGTTATGGTATGCTAGTTAATTAAAAAAAATATTCTGAGAGACAGTAGTGACCAAAGACAAGTAAGGGGAGATATATGTTCTTAGAAATTTATATATTTGTGTAGCTAACAAGCAACGAACTCACGTAACAACTAAGCTATGAGTTCTTTAGGTAGTTGAAGAAATGATCTTGTATAAGTGGTTTGAGAAATGAATGAGTGATTGAATGAATGCTTTATTTTTTTGGCCTAAGAGAGGTAGGTGGTGTATTCAGTGGAATATTATTCAGCCATAAAAAGGAAGGAAGTGTCAGCATTTGTAACGATATGGATGGCCTGTGAGGGCATTATGCCCAGTAAGGTAAGTCAGAGAGGGAAGGATATGTGTAGCCTCCCTCGTGTGTGGAAGCTCCTGGACTGGAGGACAGGTTGGAGGTTGCCAGAGGCAAGGGTGGGGTGAGCAGATGAAGAGTGCTGGGAGAGGGGCTTACAGAGAATCAGTTTGCAGTTAGAAATATGACTCCAAGTTTTAAAACAATTCCATTGAACCGCCATCATATGCCACAGATAAATTGTTTGTAAAAGAAGAGTCAGTAGATGTGGCAGACTTCATCATCTGTCTTATTTTAAGAAATTGCCACAACCGCTCCAGCTTTCAACAGCCACCACCCTGATCAGTCAGCCATCAGCAGCGTGGAGGTGAGACCCTCCGCCCGCGGTGACTCTTCGTCAGCACAGTTTGTCAACTAAGTTTATGTCATATTCTGAATCCTGTGTTACCGTTCACTGATCTTCACGGCATCCTCACCAGAAGTGAATTCCATCCAGAGAAACAGCTGTCTGCTCATCCGTAGGAAGCAGCTCCTCATCTGCGAGGGTTTACCCTGAGATTGTAGCATTGTGGTTACATCTTCAGGCTCCACTTGTAGTTTTAGTTCTTGTGCAGTTGCTATCGCATCTGCAGTTACTTCCTCTATGAAGTCTTGAATCCTTCAAAGACATCCATGGGGGTTGGAACCAACTTCTTCCGGACTCCTGTTAATGTTGATGTTTGGGCCTCTTCTTATGAATCACGAATGTTCTTGATGGCATCTAGAATGGCAAATCCTTTTCAGGTGACTTTCAGATTCAACAGAGGAAGAAACACCATCTATGAGATATTCTGTCATGCAGCCCATTTGTTCCACTTACAGGGCTCAGGCAGCATAGATTGAGCATAATTTAAGGGCTCCAGGATTTTTGAATGGAAAACGGGCATTCAGCTTTTAAGCCAACAGCTGTATTAGCCCCTAACAGGAGAGTCACCCTGACTTTTGAAGCTTTCCAGCCAGGCAGTGACTTCCCGTCTCTAGCTATGAAAGTCCTAGATGGCGTTTTCTTCGAATTGAAGACCGTGTCATCTGCCTTAAAATCTGTTGTTCCATATAGCCGCCTTCATGCACTATCTCTGCGAGCTCTGGGTGCCTTGCTGTAGCCGCCACGTCAGCACTTGCTGCTTCACCGCACTCCTGCATTGTGGAGGCGACCTCTGTCCTCAGCATCTCACCGGCCAGCCTGTGCCCACTTCAGCTTCGGAAGCTTCTTTACCCCTCTCAGCTTTCTAAGGTTGAAGGGAGCTTAAAGGAACGGTGTAGCTGGTTTGATCTTCTGTCCAGGCCACTAAAGCTTTCTCTGTATCAGCACTAAGACTATATCTGTTTTCTTATCATGTGTGTTCACTGGAGTAACACTTTTTGGTTTACATTCACAACTTGGCTGTTTGGTACAGAAGCCCTACTCTTGACCGGTCTTGGCTTTTACCGTTCCTTCCTCACTGAGCTTAATCATTTGTTGCTTTTAACTTAAAGTGAGGGACGTGCAACTGTTCCTCTCCTTGAGCACCTGGACACCCCTGTAGGGTTACTAACTGGCCTGGTTTCAGTCTTGCTGTGTTTCAGGGAACAAGGAGGCCCGAGACGAGGGAGGGGATGGGGAGCCATCGATTTGTGGAGCAGTCAGGACACAAGTTTATTGATTGTTTGCTACCGTATGTGGGTGTGGTTCACAGCGCCCCAAAACATTTCCAGGGTAGCATCAACAGATGCTATGGTGATCACAGAGCACCATAACAAATATAATAGTGATGAAATGTTTGTAACAGAGACACAAAGTGAGCATTTGCAGGAAAAGTGCTGCACGCAGATTGTCGCAGACCTTTGTTTTGTGAGCAGCGGCATGTCTGCGGGGCTCGGTAGAGCGATTGCTGCCCTGTGTGTCAGCTGGGTCCGGTAGGGCCGGGGGCGCCCGCCTGTGTTGGCAGCCTGGGGAAGGGGGATGTGCCCTGCCCTCAGGCTCCGGGGCCCGCCCGGCACCCTAGGGAGCAGGAGCTTCTGTGAAGTTTGGGATGTTCACGGAAAGGGCTTAGATGCTTGAGAACGAGTACATTAAGATTACAGTTCTGTTTTTACTATCTTGGGGTCCTAATATGTCCAGTTTATCATTTCAAGTTGAGTGATTATGTTTACCAGTTTGTGATAATAGACGCTCTAGGTTTATCATACTATGCTTTATATGCTACATTATATTAACTCTATCAAAAGTATGCCTGATTGAGGCTTAACAGTCTGTTCCATTTATTTAAAAGAAAATAATAAATCTGATTATTTACTTTAAAGCTGCAGAAGAAAGAAGATCAGCAATTGGAACCTAAAAAAAGTACCAGCCCTAAGAAAGCTGCAGAGCCCACTGTTGACCTTTTGGGACTCGGTGAGTAAGAACGCACGCCACTGTTAGAGCCGTGGACAGCTGAAACCCTGACTCGCATTGACTAGAACGGCTTTATCGGCAGTGTGCCAAGGGACCTGCTAACTGAACTTGAACACGGTGTGGTTAGTTTGCTATGTTCCCACGGAAAGGGAACTCTCCATAAGGGAGCTGGCGTCTGTCAGCAGTGCCTTCACGGAAATGTGGGTGCTGAGCTCTTGGGGAGAGAGGAGCTGCCAGAGCGGTCTCCAAGGCTTGGTGGGCCCTGCTGTCTCAGCACTGAAACGAGGAGTAGATTGCCTCTGCTCCCACCCCTCTTCTCTTTATTTAGCTTTTTGCGGGGTTGGAGGGGATCCCTTAGCAAAATAATTCTGGTGTAGCCTTATTGTAAGGTGCTGTTTTAAAGAAAGCTTTTATTTTGGATAACTGAAGCAGCACGTCTTATGCTTTGATCCAGTGGCTAGGTTCACGTTATGTGTGTGATGACAGTAAGAAGTGCTCGGTTTAATGTCATTTTTGTTCTTGAGGCTGACAGATGGATCTTGTCTGCCTGGCAGGTAAACAGGCTTCCATTCAAGGGGTGCTTGTATTGTCCTTATCTGCAAATGTCAGCTCTTCTTAAGTGCCTCTCCTCTTTGTTCTAAAGTAGCTTGATAAAATAGTTATTTTTATCTGAGCCTTCTGCAGTAATTAATTTAGAAAAAAATCTTTTTAGCTTAGAGAAAGATTAACAGCTAAAGGAAAACAGTAAAAGATAGTTGAAGGATGGAGTTGAACTTCATAAAACTTCTCTAAATTGATTTTTGTTCTTATTCAAAAGACTGTTTTCTGTTTTAAGAATTAAAATTGAATGTTTTAGTCATTTCTTTGAAGTTAGCATATCATGCAAACAAACTCCCTATCGATGAAAATCTTCTGTGGTGGTAAAATTAAGAGGTATGTATTAGAAACATAAAAAAATAACTATGATTTTATGAGCCCTGAAAATAGGGCTCAGTCCAGGCGCTCTAAATAGAATCATGTTGAATACAAGTTCTCTTCATTTACGTATTTTACTTCCTTTCCTCTAAATGAGAGAAAGGGGGAAAAAGACATTATCACCAAAGTGAGAACAGATCCTGCTGAGACTGCATGCCTCACGCAGCGTCTCCCCTCCTTTCTGCTGCCTCGTTACTGGTTCATAACCTGGAATGCTAGCTCGAGCCCAGCCTGACTCTCAGCCTCACAGACGCAGCGGCCCACAGCTCTGGCACACAGTGTCTGCCGGTGTCCAGGCACCTGGACGCTAAAGGGAGAGCTGTGAAGGAGGGCAGGTGAGAAGGCCTGGCCCCTGGGAGCCTTCGCTCCCTCTGGGGCGGCAGTGATAAAATAGTGATGCCAACTGCGGTGTGGGTTATGTTGCTAAGTGCTGTTGCTGAAAGAAAGAGGAGTGGTGGTGATTTAAATAGGGCTGGGGGTGCTGGGGGCTCCCTGAGATACCGCTGGAGTGAGGACCTCAGGAAGCTGGGGCTCCCTGGCCGTGGGTGTGGTGGCCCTGCAGCAGCCCTGCCCCCGCATGGGTGAGACCGGAGGGTGGGAGGCCTGGGATACGGGGCCACAGGGAGGCAGGTCCACTGCGACAGGACTTTGGCGTCTGCTTGGAGTGTCCTGGAAATGCATTGCAGGGATTCGAGCAAAGAAGCACCTCCTCTGACCTGAGTTTTTCAGGACTTCTTATAGCTGCTGTGTTAAGAGTCGGGTGTAGTGAGGCGAGGCTGCTGTAGGGGCAGGGGGACCAGTAACAGAGCTGGGGGGCAGTGGCGGAGTGGGGCGGTGGCATGGGAGTTATAAGAAGTAGCCGGCTCTGGACCTGTTTTAAAGAAGGAGTCAGTAGGGTTTGCTGACCAGTGAACAGTGTAGGATGTTTCCTTTTGGGAGTGACTTTGTAGAACAGGCAGCCTGCTCCCTTGGAACAAGCAGAGTTACTCTCGTGAGGTCTCCAGTGGCTGGGCACGGTGGTGGGAGGTGATCTGGGAGACAGATGGCAGACTGGCCCCCGGTGCCCAGCTGTTGCCATGGTGATGCTGCGTGGTCCCTCTCCTGGCATTTGACCTCTGGCCTCAGAAATACTGAGCTGTCTTTGTGGAGCGTCACTTGCTGCACTTCCTGCCTTCCAGCTGGTCACAGCCGCAGAGCATGTCTCCTCACTGAGTCCCTGTCTTCCTCCGCCCGGTCTCAGAGTCCCTGGGTCATGGGCCTTTCAGACTGCGGCTCCCCTCTCCTGGCATCAGGCTCTGTGAGGTCAGCCGTGGCTGGGTCTCATTGGGGCTCTTTGAGCCTGTTTCAGTGGTGGGAGAGCTTCAGGAAACTGTGACCTGAGGGGAGAGCCAAGCTTTGCTTATGGTAGGAGGGTGTGGGACTGCTTGAAGGAGAGGGTGAGGACATATCAGGGGGATTTGCTGCTGACTGATGATTCTATCTCTGTGCTGGAAGAGTTCTGCAGGTGGCCGGGCAGGTGATGGGGTCAGAAAGAGGGATTAGGGGCCTTGCCGATGAAGTGGTAGCAGCAGGAAGCCTGGTGCCTCACGCAGAGCACATACAGCTCTGCTCCTGCTAGTTACCAGTCACCTAAGTTCTTTTGGAAGAGGCTGTGGCTTTGAGAGAACAGTGCTCCTGAATGAGGACGGAGCAGCAGCCTCTCGTGGGTGAGCATGGCGCTCTGGTTCCCCGCAGGTGGAGGTGTGCTGGCGCAGGGGCGTGTGGTCCGCTTTATGGCCTCGCAGAGAAGTCGGCGGGCCGTGTGGGTGAGGGCAGAGATGGCCTTCACGTTGCAAGTTTGCAGAAAAGGCGGAGAAAAGCCCCGCAGGGTTAGTGCAGCTACACAGCCACGGAGGGCCGGGAATCCCCGGGTTCTGTGTGTATTCGGGGTCACGTCGTCTCACACAGGATGATAGTCAAGATAAGTTTTTAGAAATATGAACTTCCCATTTAAATGGTCCTTTAGCGAACCTTTTTGTTTCAGGCCAGTGGCTCGAGATAAACCTGTTTTCCTCAGCTCCCCTTTCCTGATCTACTTCCATCCCAACATCATAAAATACTCTCCCTGTGCTTTCTAGCAAGAGTCAGCAATGTTTTTCTGAAAGGGACTAGCTGATTTTGGCTTTGCAGACCTTACAGTCTCTGGGGCAGCTACTCCGCTCACCCCCATGGTGGGCATGTCGCTGTTGGCAAAAGCGTGGATGGTGAGGGGGCCAGGCTCTGCTGGATGCTAAAGATAGTTGGGAGGGGCCTTTGTGCTGCTGGCTGTGCCTGCAAGAACAACTGCATGATCAGGAGCTGATGTGCACTGGGAGCTTGTGGGAGTACCGTTTACTCTCTGCCTTACTGTCTAGTGTTAGAAGTGGGGTCGGTACTTGGTTATTACTGCCCTCTGCTCCTGGAAATAGCCAGGTCTTAGGCCCCTCTTGGCGAGGGCCAGCCCGACCAGCCCAGCCGCTTGACTAGACCATGTCCTTGCCGTCTGAGCGCAGAGCTGACACCAGCTCCTGCCGCCGGGGTGCCGCTTGCCCATCCTCTGCGTGTGGGACTCCTCCAGGGCTGGGAGCCGCGCTGTGCGCGTCTTCTGGCCTCTGTTGGTGGCGACTTGGCTTTCATGTGACAAAAGCCGACAGATCGCTTAGCAACTGGGTAGGATGGCCTCGGACTTCTTTTTCTAGAAGGTCCCGTCTGAGAGCAGTCTTCAGGGTGAGCACCCGCTCCAGCAGTAAGGCGTGGCAGGCCTGTGGCTGCGGGGTGAAGCTTGGCCTGCTGGCTTTAGCTCTGTCTTCCCGCAGACGTGCCCTCGGCCGGCCCCGCTCCCGGGCAGGAGGCTTCACCGCAGGCCATCGTGCGCGGGGGTGCGTGGGACCGTTGGGGACAGGGGGCCCTGGATTTGGAGGTGGTGCCTCGACTGTGCGCGGGCTCTGGGACCTTCACCCGGCGAGGGAACATAGGAACCGCTCCCTGGTTATCGTCCAGAGTGTGACTGAGTGGGCAGCGTGACACACAGCACAGTGATGTGTGCGGGGCAGGACGAGCGTGTCTGTGGGGCCTTGGGCAGGCTGCCCGGGCTCGCAGCAAGCGGAGCTTGGAACTGGAGGGGCAGACACAGCAGGAGGGGTCACACCAGCTGTGAGGCCTCTCGGTCAGGTGAGAAGATTAGCCTAAAGTCCACCTAGTTGGCAGTGTGTGCATGCTAAGTCAGTTCAGTCGTGTCTGACTCTTTGTGACCCCGTGGACTGCATCCCGCCAGGCTCCTCTGTCCATGGGATTCTCCAGGCAAGAACTCTGGAGTGGGTTGTCATGCCCTCCTCCAGAAGATCTTCCCAATCCAGGGATCGAACCTGCATCTGTTAGGTCTCCTGCATTGGCAGATGGGTTCTTACCACCAGTGCCACCTGGGAAACCCTACTTAGCAGGAAGAAAAATTAACTGAAAAATAAACGGCTTCACTTAACTCTCAGTCATCTTTTTTTCAACTTTTGAGAACAATTTGAAGCCTGAAAATTAATATGCTTCAAATGAGCATTTATGACTTGAGTTTACAAAGTAACACACATGGGAGTTTATTTCATTTCATGAAGCCAAGTGTGTTTAAATCCAGAAGAATGCTAAGTAACATTTTTATTAAGGAAAAAGCTTTAAATGGTTTCTTGCGTGGAAAATAAAAAGGGTTCTTTGAGTAATATGAAGATTTATAAAGCTTTAAGGAGTTTGCCACTAAGGAGAGTGTCTCACTATACCTCGTGGAAGGAGCCGCCTTTAATCTGTTTCTGCTTCAGACTCGCTCCTCCCTAGGGTGATGCCTCAGTAGGTACCAGTGAAGAATTAGGGTTGGCAGTTTTCGGTGTCCAAGGGTGTGCTCAAGACTAAGTGTTCACACTCAGTCAGGAACAGTAAGGAAAAACATAGCATCACTCACTTATCATGTTCTTAGCTGCCGGTGCTAGATTAGTAATATAACAAATCTCATACAACTCTTTTTG